CTCCAATGCTGCGGCGAAACTGAAACGCGAAAGAGCACAACTGAAAGGAGAGAGCGTTGTTACATCGACCATCAACAGACTTCATTGTGTGGGTGTCTGGGTTGCGCTCGCAAATACAGTACGCATTACGCAAATACATTAACGAAAGGGGGAAAACTTCACCCCTGTAATCACTGTTTTGAACAGTGACGTCATTGCAGTCAGCTTGTCGCGGTCATCGGTCCTTTAGTTTCCGTTTCACCGCTGAATTTAGAATTCCATTATTTTGTAGTTATTACTAGAGGCCGCTTTTCCGAAATATCAAGGTGGCAATGGGTTCGTCGCATGAAGGACTTGAATTCTCTCATTTTACTTGTCTGCCAAACTCCACCAATTAAAAAGGTACTTTAACTTTCCCAATTTCTATTCCAAATGATGTCTTCAACCCTCGTAGGATGCCGGCCGCCACAAAAAATCGACTGTGAAAACAGCTAGCAAATAGCTTCTTTTGCCAATTTTTAAACAATATTGGAGAAATCTCTTGAAACACCCTGTATGTAGTTTGTATATCAAAAGTGTGCTTGAGGTCTAACTGCATTGTTATCATTACTTCTTAACCCTTTTTGGCAACCCCAAGTCATGGGGCTTTTTCATTACTTTTGTTGCCCTGATGCTAGCCATAAGGCCTTGTATTCGAAGCAACAAAGTGGTTGCAAGTTCAGCACTGTGTCTGTGCAACTGCCTGGATGCTGTTTTTTTTTTTTTTTGCTCCTAAAATCTTTCATCACTATTATGGGTTCAGTGCAGTGTCCACCAATAGTCTAAATGGATCCTGTCTTTCTTTAGTAAACTTTCAAGGTGTATTGCAGAGAAGAGGGGCACTAAAGTGATGTGCAATTGGGATTGCGGCAGCTTTCAAAGGAAAACAGTAGCATAGGAATAACATTATTGTAATAAATCGCATATTTATTAGTGGTTTCACAGTTGTCGCACAATATTGTCATGGCAGGTCAGAGCAGATCCTAATGTGATACTTGCTGCCTTCAGCTGGGAAAGCAAATAAGTCGTGCTAAGTGTCCCAGCGATTGCACTCAACGCTTTAAAAAATAGTGAGCAATCAGTTTTGTGATAAATTTGCTTTCCTTCATTCAGCATTTCTATAATAAATCTTCCCTGTACATGACATAGGCAAATGAAACCGGGAGGTATGACAGAGGCGAACAAAAACTTTGGTAAAGTATCTGTCAGGCTGGATTTTAAATTGTAGGCAAAAAAATTGTAGGTTTCAGGGCATGCATTTCCGTTTGTAAAGTGTAGAACTGCAGTAGTGTATTGTTTGCATCTGCCACATGGAAAGATGTATTTTGGCCAAGCTGGCTGGTGGGTTAACAGGCAGCTTTCAGAACACAAGCACACAAAAAACTGCATTGCTTGGAATGTGGTTGCTTGATGCTTTTCACTGAAACTGAGATACTTTGCAATCGCAAAGATCAGCTCACCAGGGAAGAAGTAATCAAGGCCTTCCAGGTAAGCAGGGGTGATTGTATCAGTCGAGCATCAGTTGTTCTGAGTATTTGAGAAGTGTCTTCTTCAGAAGCTCACCGGAAATTGTTATAACTAGGAAGTCATGGTCACACATGGTACACTAGGCAAAGTAATGCAATCATTTATGCATATTGACCAAGTTTTTTCAAAATAAACTAGTTCTGATTGCAGCTGTTGCCATGTCCTTTTGTGCCTCGTCTCAGTGTGCCGCTATACACTTAAACATGAACCATCGCCAACTCGCCCAACTTTCTTATTTACGGACCTTATATGTCTGCTGGTTGCTAGAAAAAGATCTTATTCATTTGCATCGGCATCCACTTCTTTGTCTTCTGATACTTTCTGGTGAAGCAATACTGTGATTGTGCACCCTTTTTGAGAATTTTGTTTAAGTTATTTGAACTTCTATAAACTGCATGGTGAGATAGTTGCAGGTAAATGTGTTGGTAAATTAGGGAGGTCTGCTAAAGGGAAAATCATGAACTTCATCAGCATCGTTAAGGAAAGTTGACAAAGGCATGAGCAGGAGAAAAAAAACACACCAATCTGTGCAGCTGTTGCATCTTTTCGTTTCACCAAAGACGTGTGTGGCACAGTGAAGAGATGCGGCGAATGCTGAAGCTAAAATTGCTTTATTATACTCTTCCGAATGAATTGTGCTTGCATATTTACTTGGACCAATCTGTATGTGATTGTGAGTCATTTCATGCATGTTTCTATGTTTGCATGCCTTCCTCTTTGAATCATGAAGCAACTCAGTCTTGGACCTCCATAGTTTGACACAGTTACTTGCAACTGTCCAGACATGCAAAGTTGTTGGGCTGTGCTTTTGGTGCTCCACAGAATTTCTTCAATATTGTCAATGTGAAGCACATAACTATATTACTTCTCCACAAAGCACATTGTGGGACAGCATAGTGAATGCCAATGGATGGTTTCACCCGAGCCTGCCGGTCTCTGGCAACATAGTGCGTTCCCCGGAAAACCAACCCTGGAACCTTCCGGTTTAGCTTGTTTTTGCATGATTTTAGCCTTTGTTGCTGGCCGTGGCTGCTCGTGTTCCGATGTTTAATGCGGTTGAAATTATTCCGATGAAGCGCTGACGATTTGGACACAGCTGTGATGCAGTCTACAAGCGTGAACTAATCTTATATGCTAGTCAGAACGTTCCGTTTTCTGACCAATGCCGATCGACAGAGTGCCTGCCCTGCAGCGATCGTGGGAGAAAACTGGATTCCCATTAAGAGTGCTTAGGTTTGTTCTGCCCACTTCATCAAAGGCAATGTAAAGCTCAGCGCAGACTAATGGCACAGAGGCGATACTCAAGCGTTAGACTAGTCGAAGGCCCCCGGTTATCGGGAACACATCGGTTGTTGTCGTCTCCCACCCGTGGCAGATTAGTGTACTGATGCCCGAAATGGGTAGCAAGATGTGAAAGCTAACACTGAAAATTCATCGCATAGTTGGAGCAATATCAATGATGTGTACTGTTTGAAACAACACTGGACCCAAAGTAACTGCGCTTAACATGAATTGCCCCACAGCGTATACGTTGTGGTGTCTACGTCTCATTGTCGTTGCATTTAATTTTCTTGAAAGCGACTCCGTCGAGTGGGCTCCCATCTGTGCGAGCAAATGACTTATCTCCCGTATTTATGACGCTGATGAACATTGCCCCATTCTATCTAGCTAAGTTATATCCTTCGGTGTCAACATAGACTGTAGGTTAAGGTCTGTTCAACTTGAAAGTTTGATTCATGAATAGCTTACTCATGAGTAAACCATAATAATTAGAGTGACCCTACAGCCGCAGTTCATGCTATCACGTAATTAAATTAGTACATTTTGTAATTTATCAGTCGCACGAACACTTCCGATTGTCACTGATCTCTTCAAGAAGTGTGCGGTGTGACACAGGCGCTGAAATAAGTATTTTATCCCATGGTTGTGTGCTTAGACGAAAACATAAGTTTGTGGTTCTACAGAAGTCAGGTTTTCAGTTCTAGTCGAAAAGCTGAATTGAACAACTTCACTGTGAATCGGACAACTCTTCTGCATGTTAGCGATGTGGGTGCGCTTTGAAGATGCGGAGAGGGAAAAGACAGGTGTGCGCTGTCGATTCCCTGTCGGTGTCTTTAAAGCGCATTCACATTGTCGACATTGTTGTGGATCTCTGCGCTGTTCACCAGTTGTTGCGGATCTCAGCACTGTTTACCGGTTGTTGCATATCGGGGGTCTACCCGGTCTCTTGTGGTAGCGTGGTGTAACTTTGGGTTGAGGAAACGAACGCTGACAAGATGGATATACGAAAAACAAACAGGTTCATGGCATTATTTACACTTATTTACAGCATAGAGAGGTTGAAAGTTTCACAAACCACGAGCGTGGTGGTTGAACTGTTACATGGTTCAGAGCGACGTCCAGCACTCTGCAGCGTCGTTTTAAACCCTGTTGGGCTCCTGCTCGATGATTGGAACGTCAATCACACACACAGACACTGCCCACAGGGCATAATTTAATAGCATATGGTCCGCCGAATAGTTATTGCCCCTCTTTACACAATGCTCTGGAGATAGGAGAAATGGGGTTCCTTCCCGGAACAATTCGGTGGTCGGGTTGCTTCTTCCGCTTTTCCCAGGAAGGGCAGCCAAGGAGTATATACTTGAATCGTGGAGACACGACCTATACGGTCGGTCTGCTTCGCCGTCTCGCTAAACAAGCCAGTCCAAAGGAATTGCTTGTCAGACATTGGCTTACGGACCGTCTTCTAATCCTTTTGTTGCTCCCCGCCTCTGGATCCGAGAAACTGTGGTTCCGGGCGTAAGAGAGCTGCCTGACTACGTTTCGCAGCGACAGCACGGCGCCTACTGACGACGGTCATAACAACATGCAGAACCAACCTGCCCAGTGAAGTTCGCTGACAAACTTCTCCTGCAGTTTTATGCATTTTCTGTTTGCATAGGTGCGGGCACTGTCAAAGGTAACACGGAGTGGGGAGCCGCTACTCCACGACGGATATTTTGCGTGGCACCCGTCAGCTACGCAGTGGCCGTGGCTGTACTACCTGTACGATACGTCGAGCCCCTTCATGTAGCCGCTAGACGTTGCTCTAAACACATCGTAACGAATGTGTCTCAAATAATAGAGCAGCAAACTCAAACACACCACAAAAACACTGCCGGGACCATTGAGAAAGCATTACCGGAAATCTGCTGGGGTAGGCCATTCGGCAGGAGCCGGTTTGTTTACAAACACCGAAACCATCTATAGGAAAGATTAAAAAGCTTGTTCTTTTTCTAGTAACCGGCAATGCGCTACGTGTAGTATATTGCATATTTTAGGAGCGTAGGTTTCGCCCTACTACATAACTCACAAAAAGATTTCCTCTCAAAATAATTGTAGGAAAGCACTGAAATGGTTGCCCACAAGTTGAGCTCAATGTCTGGTATGGCTAACATCTCACCTTGTCATCGCAGGACTACAAGGAGGACGAAGACCCATCAACGTTTGTCTCCAAGAAGACTGGGCGGGGTCCCCTGAAAGGAGACTGGATGAAGAGCTGCAAGCCGGTGATGTGTGCGTACAAGCTCGTTACAGTGGAGTTCAAGTGGTTTGGCCTGCAGAACCGTGTTGAGGCCTTCATTCAAAAAGTGAGTTTCTTGTCTGGGATAACTGCCTCGCCGCGGTGGTCTAGGAGCTAAGGTACTCGGCTGCTGACCCGCAGGTCGCGGGATCGAATCCGGGCTGCGGCGGCTGCATTTCCGATGGAGGCAGCAATGTTGTAGGTACGTGTGCTCAGATTTGGGTGCACATTAAAGAACCCGAGGTGGTCGAAATTTCCGGAGCCCTCCACTACGGCGTCTCTCATAATCATATGGTGGTTTTGGGACGTTAAACCCTACAAATCAATCAATCAACCACTTGACATTTCGCATAACACCTAAATGTGCGATACAAACTCCTGTACAGTCATTCAATTCACAGAAACTACTTTAGTGGCGATATAACAACAACAAAAATGCAACCATATAAGGCAGCCAAAGCATGCCATTGCCACAAAGAGTTACAATCAGGCAATCCAGTGATCATCCGAGACGCGAAAGAGCACAAGCAGCCTTATTCAGCGTGCCTTGAATATGAACAATTTCTTTTTCACAATCGCCACTCGTTGGTTTGTGGGGTTTAACGTCCCAAAACCACCATATGATTATGAGAGACGCCGACAATCGCCACTCATTCAACTGTGAACGCCTTTTGTTGCGACTGGTTCAGCCTCTCACTGAAGAATGCGACTGATGGTGCACGTTCACCTATCGTTTGGGAGAGACAAGCTCTCATTGTCGTTTCCGATGCGTTCGTAGCCAAACAAAAAGCTTCGCTGGGGTTAGTTGCCGTCAACTCAGAAATCAACGCAAAGTCCTGTAACTCAATGAAATGCTACCTGTGCCTCTACGTTTCATGCCAGCGTGTTCGAAACTCTCGAACTGCCGTTGCTGATAAATACCCGACTATCCACTTAAAGCCTTTCACAATGTCACCACCCGTCGGTAACACGCCATACCTACTCTAAAAAAAAAAGAAAACGCAAAACCAGTTACTACATTAAGTTCTGTTCACGGCAATTACATTTAAAAATGTTTCAAAACTGAAAAAAGAAAACCCAGAACAAAAATTACCTTCAATGACGGCGGTAGTTCAATTTGCCAAAGAACTTACGGCTACACGTCGCACTTGAGCTGCACACGCGGTGGTCCTGGCCTAACGATTTTTTTTTTTTTAACGGAAAATACGCAAAACGTAGAACCCAGTCGTTCCACCGCAAAACCCCAACCCTGGCCGCTTTTAATGCGCTTTCTCCTTTTCTTTTCTGAGAAGTTACCACGGCAAAAGTTCTAGTGCACTAACATTACGACTCGGCGCGCCTCTGGCACCACTGCCTGCCATGACTGCTTCCCGTCAAACTGCTCCCTACCAGTTCCATTGACGTGCGACCTCTTTTTCACCTGACACACCAAACCGGCAAGTGGCTCATCGCCTTTCTGCTCTCCATCGAGAGCATTTCCATCGAATGGACTAAGCCGCACGCTGTTTACATTAATACATTCACTGCAACTTCTCAACTTCGCCTGCTGTAGAAGTGACGCGAAATTAGTTGGTTGCGGCTCTCTTGCCCGGCCGTCCTGTTTCTCCACTGTGCGTTGCACAGCGTTAGCGCTAAAACTAAAACCTCGAGGCACGTGCTGTGGCTCCCTCGTTGATGAATATGCTCCAATGTAATGCCCTGTCTTGAACAGCTGATCTCTCCTGCATTACCCTCATTCAGATCGTGCAGTGGCTTTTGCCTGTGATGACAAAGACACTCGTAATCGGTGGGAGTGAGCAATACGGACACACTCGTATTCAACTGATCGGTCGCTGCACATCGCAGTTTCACCGGCGTAGCAACGCTTTCTGATGAGGTTGGGAGATAAGGGGTTACATACAGCAGACGTGCGATACCATGCCCGAAGGCATCAGTTAGCTTTATTGCGCCACTGCTCTCACGATAAATCTCAGCGGATACCTCATTCGCTCGTATCATCGTTATATCCACACCTGAATCAACGCGTGCGAAACAGTGCTTGTTTCTCTAAAAAATCTCGATCTGCTGGTCCCTTATAAGCGAGTTTTCCATAACCGCTTAGTGTTGCTACGGTATTGCTCGGCTCTCAAATCATCGCTTATTCTGGGAAGCCACGCATAAAACTTTAGCTGTATTAGCAGCAATTTCACATGAGAACTTGCAATCTCTTTGAAAGTGGCCCCGTTTCCAGCAGCCAAAACACGCTCCTGAATTAGATCTGAAATTTGCACTAGCGAAGTGCTTGGCTTGTGTGCGGCAACTTTGATTCCTTGCCGCAGTACTACGGTAACTCCATTGCGCAACTCCCTGCCTGCCGCTGTTGAGGCTCTCTTCAAATTTGGCAGCTAACTCTGCAATATTCTTGGGCTCGAACCAGCTCTTTATTGGCTGCTGGATTACCAGCGAGTGGAGATCATCTGGCATTAACTGTTCCAGCCTGCCAGCTATCAGCAGTTCCCGAAGACTTTCAAATGACTCCACTTCTCAACTTCTAAGGTAGCAAGTGAACATGGTCTCCAGGCGCGCCGTCACTTGGCTCCACGATTCATCTGCCTCTCGTTTGATTTCCAGAAACATTGCCGGTACTCGTTCGGAGTCATCCTCAGCTCTTTTAACACTCTGGACTTTAAATCAAAGTACAGCATTACCCCAGCTTCTGCTTGATTGGCAACAAATGTACGCATCTTCTCACTTAAAAATGATAGTAAAAACGTGCCCTGTACTTCCTCAGGGATGCTTAATGCTGCAAAAAGAGCGTCCACATTCTTAAACCAAGCCGGAATCATAGGCTCTATTATGGGCATAGGTGTTAGGACTGCCTTAAGCTCTTTCGCATACCGTCCGATACTGCTCTGCTGGTTCCGGTCGTACGGATCCTCTGATGAAGCGCGCGACGACCTCATTTTCTCCAGCTCGAGCTTGAGCTTCAGCACTTCTATCTTGAGCATCAACTCGCGGGTTCGATCCAATTCATTCAGACTGTCGCCTTCCATAACATCTCTCTCTGAATCCGCCATCTCCCTGAGTGTGCTTGAATGCACGTGCATTCAGTAAGAAAAAAAAAATTAGGGCCCCGAGAGAGCACAAAGCAGGCCTCATCTTGCAGTGATGCGTCGCCCGATGACCACTTTGGTTGGAACGACGTCCGTCTCGTCACCAACGCTGGTAGCGACGAATTCTGTGATGCTCTAGGTGCTCGATCGGACCACTCCTGCCGTTGTCTGAAGTCAGCCGCGCCGACTGTCCCGGCTGCTCAGCTATCGTTTACCCACGTGCAGCCCAACTTGCGCTCCCAACTCTTGCGCTGCCCAACTCCTGGCTCCAAAGTCGGTTAGCAAGCTTGGACTGAATGCCAATGCTGCTTCTTGCAGCACGCCAACAGGTCCCAAAGCAGCCGAGCGTCTTGACGCTGCTCCTCGCGCGCTGCACACCAGCAGGTTGCAAAAGCGGCGAGTGTCTTGTCACCTTCCCGGACTCCAGCACCTTCCTCGCTGTGGGCTCTCCGCTCCATGTCGACTGCACCAGTCAATTTCCTCTCCTCGACTAGCTTCTACACTAGCTAAGGAGGGAAGATGTTTGAGGTTCGGAATGGGTCCCTTTGATGACTCGAGTGCACGGTGGCAGCGGGAAGGAAGAGCTGTAGTCCGGTGAAGAGACACTTTATTGCAGCCTCAGGCGTATGCCCCTGTCCAAGCCCGAACCTCCGCTCTCTTCTTTTCCGCATTCAAACATCCTCTTTTCAACCCTCGGTTGAACGAAGGGTCTCGACACAAGCCAATCACACATGTGGGCTCACATCGCCGCAACCTATCGCAAAAACACTTTCATAACAGGCACAACATTGGTAAAAATCACGTTATGAAATATAACACGAGAGGGGATAGGTTCTCAGCTTGTCACACTCTCTCCCATGTCAGGCCGTGCTGCTTCCGTCGACTGACTTTCGTCGGCAGCCGTTCTCACCCTCGAGCCCTGTCAGCTCTCTCATTAAATGTTGCTTTGTAGAAGCCTCCTTAAGAGTGGTGAGTACATCGTTGGGCTCTGAGTGCTTACCAGGTTAGAATCTGCAGGCGCATTAACGATAGCATGTACTTTGGATTCAAGAGGAGACAATCTTCTGGCACTGACGTTGTGCTCTCAAATTGAATTTTGAATTTGCTTCAGACACATTTGTGTCTTTTTTGCAACAAATCCAGACAAATGTGTCTTTGCAACAATTTGCCAAGACACATTTGTCGTTCAGTTTTATTCCCATGTTGCTTATGTGTCTTAGTACAACTTGTAAATTAGCATCATGCTCAGCACGCGTTCGACCCCAGACCAAAATGTCATCCAAGTAGCACAGTACTCCGGAGCAATCTTTCAAAATGTCTGACATCACTTTCTGAAAAACAGCAGGGGCAGATGCAAGCCCAAAGCAAACTTCATGAAATCTGAATAAACCATGTCTTACAAACGTAGTAAAGTCTTGACAAAGTTATCCTGATGGTACGCTCATGCAAGATCTAGCTTTGAAAAGTAAATAGCACCTGTAAGTTGCCGGAGATCTTTGATCAACTATGATAGTTTTGTTTGGTTCACGCAAGGTCACACTAAGTCTTAAGGAACCGTTCTTTTTCTTTACCACGACCAGTGGAGAGACCTAATCTTATGCTGAAACTCGTTCGATGACTCCTGATTGTTCAAGACAAGAAAGTTCATCGGAGACTTGCTGTTGAAGCAGAAATGGCAATCCACTTAGTGCATGTAGCTTTTCACCAGTCAGAGTTCCTGGGTTAAGGGATGATGAAATTCAAAAGGATCATTGGCAGAAATTCTTCAGGTTTCTGAAACTGAAGCTTCTGAACAGGACAATGTTGCACCGTCGATGCTTATGTGGATGTTTCGAATAGCATCCAACCTAAAAAGTGAACCCTCTTTCTTCACGTAAAATGTGACAGCAGCAGTGGTATCATAGTACCGAACGTTTGTAGAGAAGTATCCGAGGTTGGGAATGCATTTCTTCTAAGTTTTGAAGAACAACGTACG